CGTACGGAAACGATGGCGTTTTAACCGTTCGAATTTCGCAACCGGCAATCATCACGTGATAACACCGTCGTAATCGCCAAAGGCGCGAGACCACCGGAACACGTGCGCGCGTCGTGTGCTGCGCCAGCGCGTCGGCGTTTTAGCAAAACGCAAAGGGGACGAAAGTGGTATATAAATGGCCGTCGACTTTCGTCGGCGGTTCACTTGCGCTGCGAAAACGACCGAACCGTTACCGCGCGCGACGTTTTGACTCACACACACGTACACGGTAACCGGTGTGGACCATGAAACCGTTCCGTCCGATCTTGGCGTTCGCGGTGGTCGCGGCCGTCGCGACGTGTGCCGCCCGCGAGGACATCGACAGCGCGACAGCCGCGTACGACGACGACGACGACGACGACCGATCCGACGTCGCGGACGACGATCGGTCGGCTCTGCCGGCGGCGGTCCAACGGGACGACGGTGAGTGATCGACCGACGACGGGTCGCTGTTGCGGTTTTTTTTTTTTTTTTTCGTACGACACGTTCGGCGGACGAACAAAAACATCGGTTGTTACCGGCGATGGGAAGAATTCCGATCCGCCCAAGTCCGGAAATCCGGATCCCGCTCCTCCGAGTTCGGATTTCGAAATATTCAATTTGTATTCCTTCGCACTTTCGATAACGTTTTGATAACTACACGTTTTTTCCGACAAATGCATTCTTCGATTGGAATACAGAATTCCGCTGTTTTAAGCCCGCAATCTGCACAATTGCAATCCGAACACCGGACGAATCCAAAACCGGGTTTTAATTGCCCTCGCCGCTAGTCATGACCCGTGCCGGCGGTTGCTAGGGTTCACGCGATCACCGTGCTTTACTGTCGTACACCATTTCTTCCGGTCCGTCATTTCCGCATGCGAACGGCTTGCGTCGAAAAAAAGGATATTTATTTATCAACATCGTTTTCGTTCGAGCTAGGGGAACGTTTCTGTCGGGAACATTTTATTGAAAAATGTAATCGGCCGAACACAAAAACGATGCGGAACACAGTTTTCATCGTTCGTACGAAAACTGCATTGCGCCACCGCTTCCCCATCATTTCGTGGACGAATTTAATTCTATCACGTGTACATCGTGTATAATATTGAAATTATATTTGTAAACTGTCGACGATATAGGAAAAAAAAAAAAAAAACAAAAACATCTATAATTTTTTTTTTCCTTTTCAGTTGTGTCCAATAATAAGTGTAACGACCCGAGATCGGGGTACAAATACAAGGTGGGCGTCACGTGGTACCCGGAAGGTTGCGTTCGGAGATCTTGCTTTTATTCCCTGGAACATAAAACGGCACTGGTCCGCACGGAAAAGTGAGTAAAACCTCTCGCCCGCGTTGTTCACGAAAATAACACATAATTAATCTCCTCGGTGTCGTCGTCCGCCAAGTGCACTGCTACAAACGAACATTTAGCCGCTATTAGCCGCTGAACAGACGATTGCGAAAATAATTATCGGTGGAAACAATGATAATATGCGGTTTAGGTAATGTTATGATGTATTTCGATGCGCTTTTTGACGGAACGTTAAAACGGATACTATCGGATTCATTCACTTCGTACCGGCTAGGGACTGCACTGTGAAATTCAACTCTTAATAACACGTTGCCGATAGTTAGGGACGGTCGAGTAGTTTTCTCGTTTATAAAAAAAAAAAAAAAAAAAACAATGCGCGCTCGGACACAAGTTGTTGCGGAAGTATACGTTATTCACGAATACGCGTTTACCGGCTTGCTCACGGAATAAATTAAATATCGTTAAACAATTCAAGACTATATCAGTTTATCATAATTATTACCACCTACTAGGTTCTTTTTGTAAAATTAAAGTTGCTATAAACATTCGAATAAATTAACCGCTTACAATGTCGTAGACCGTAGTACGGTTTGTACGTTTTTTCCGTATTTTTTTTTCTACCACTAACACCCATTTGTCAATCGTCTTATCGAACCAATGGTCGTACGTATAATCGTTTTTCAATATTTGAAAATTTTCTTTTCTTTTCTTTTCATTTTCACCATCAAATACAACCTCATTATGTAAACTCAAACCAAAACGTAATTTAGGCTACTACTATGGTTTAGGGGAAAAAACCACATTTCTGAAAAATAACTTGAATTCGTATCACTATTTAATCATTTGATGATATTCAATGGTACTGTAATTTATTTAGTTATAAAATGTTTCATTTCAATTCCATTTTATCTGATTGTTTTCCGTTTAAATATTTACGTTATCTTTATCCTTTTTTTTTCTTTTATTCAGTCCTATTACTATCGCTTCTATTTCATAGGATCGTCTCCGAACTAATAAATATGTAATTCTATACAGACTCCAAATTAAAACTATAATTTAGGATAAGAATTCAATAAACATATATTTACATAACAGTTTGATGTAGGATGTATTTACGAACCGTTCTAAATTCTACTGGTAAAAACATACTTTGTACCATGTTCAGTGTGTTTCATTATAAATTAACTGCTACTTCACGATTCTTGATCTAGGACGGAGACATACATTTAAATGGTTAATTTACAGAATTCCGTTTAATACGATAAGTATGTTTTAAAAATGAAGTAATACTCAAGATAATATTATAATCTACAGCAATATTTGAGTTTATATTAAAATGTCGAGATCAGTATGAAAAAGCATGGTCAAAGGCAAATATTAATTATATCGTAAACACACCTGCAATCATTTAACACTGAACTTTATAAAAATTTACCAGTAATGCATTTGCTCGTAATCGGTAATTAATTTCTTGTTGATGATTAACAGCCATGGTAATTTAAATATGGTTTTTATTATTTTACAGCCGTTTTGATTTTAATATTCTTTAACTTAACAATATATAATATAATTAGTTATTAATAATTAACTAATAAATTATAAATTAGTTATTCAATTAGGGATTTTTTTTTCTTTTATCTTTGTCTTTGGAAAAAAGAAGCCTAGAAAAAAATTCTTGAATCATCAAGGTAATTTTATTCGTACGAAGTTATAATGCACAATGCGTGTATATATTACGAGGGATATCGGTGGTAAAAAACTTATCAACAATTTTATATAAATAAGGCTTTTCTCCGTTGTCTTGTCAAACTCTTTACAGACACTATAAGTATTTAATATTTTTTATCAACAATCGATTCACTATACCATATATACCATACTGAGTTAAAAAAATATACAAATTATTAATGATCAAATGTCTCTGGTTTTAGGTGCAAATGTAAGGAATGCCCTCCTGGTATGGAATGTTCGACCGTGCAAAGGGCCGCAACAAAAGATGCTCATTACCCACAGTGTTGTCCGATGACCGTGTGCGTTCCCGCTGGACGAACTCTATGGGCGTTCTTCAAGCCTAATAATTGGAAGGTCACGTTTTCCAAAATGATACAGAATACGTAACTTTCTATCCTTGTGCCGAAAATATCTGTACGAATAAATGTATTTAGTTCCTAAAATACCGACTTAAATTTACAACGAATCAATGAATAAACAAGTTCAATGACTTATATTCGTTATTTTCTTAGTTTATCCATAATATGGACTGTATGTATACCGTGTATACTTATTATATATTGTTTAATATTTTTTTTTCGTATTAAATGTTTATTATTCTTAAAGCGTACCTACAAATACAAATACACTAAAATTGTCTTTTGTGAATTTTTCTTTTAGTCATACAACTTGAAATGTTTTTACGTTACCGTATACATTCTAGTTCGGCGGAGATTTACAGTGAATTCTGCTTAATGTAGACACGTTGGAACCAAATATATTTACCCACATAAAGCAGCTGGTCATATAAAAAAAATTTCGTTAAAAAAAACCAAAATTTTTAATAATAAAAATTTTTTATATAAAATTGGAATGAAATCTTATAATTAATACATTATATTAAACGATAAATTAGTGCATTTAATACTAAATGAGTAGATGTTTAAGATAAATTAAACTTATTGATTTGTCTTAAATTAATAAATACTTTAGATAGCTTAAAACTAATCATATATAATAATTTAGGACATTCAATTAGACTATTAAATTATTTGTACAAGAAAAATAAACCTATATTTTTTCTTCTTATTTTTAAATTATTTAAATTTAAGATACTCAGTAATGGCACATAAGATGTATATATATATTTAAAACAATTAATATAAATAAATATTAAAAATCAGTGTTGGATAGCTTCTATTTTTTTAAATTAAACCTAACTGATGTGGTGGTCAGAGAGTGGAGTTACATTCAAGACATGATCGGAATAGTTCAAAGTATAATGATTTTAAGACAATAATATTTGTGAAGTTTTCACAATGGTGCGAATAAGGGATTATGAAACCTAAATGTTAGTTGTTTTGTTTTATCAATTATTTTAGAAATATGAGTATTACAAATTAAGTTAAATTCAAAAATAATTCCTAGAGTTAAGGGGCGGAATATAAGAATACAATTCTTATCGGATATACCAGGTATTTTCAAGCCACGTTTTCAAATTTAATTTTTTTTCCATATGTTGTCTTACGGGTAGATAATTGGTAAATATTGGTTAGACTAACTATTTTTTCGATTTGGAGAAGTATAGAACAATTAGTTTGACCAACATATTGGAAAAAGCGATTATCAATTTATTTTCATACACATTTTTATTCTTCCTAGCTTCTTTTGTAAAATAGTATCAACCATAAAAATTTTCGATAGTAATATCGAGTGTCTGGACCAAAAAAACTCCATCTGAGTACGTAAATGTACACAGGTATTATTTTATATTTATACAAATATATCACTATATCAATATATGGTACACTGTATTTACGCTAAAAGGTACTAATAAATAATTTCAATTTGATCTTTTATTGAAATTGGGTTTTCGAGTAGTGAAAGGAGTATCAAAATACACAATTAAAGACAAATTTTAAATTTTTGACCCGGACGATACGCGCATGCGCAACACAACTTACTTTTTTTAAATGGCAACATAATTTTTGTTCTACATATTTGGGTAGAGTACTTTTTTTAAAAAATTTGTATATTATATTATTTGCTTTCTAATAATGAAAAATTATGTAAATCATTGTAATAATGGATTATTTATAAAAATATTATTATGTACCTGTTATAAAAGAAAATGGTTAACTCTATCAAATGCTTTTGTAAAGTTATTACTGTAATTCAAATTACGTATTGATGTTGGATGAATCGTCAGAGTCTCATGGTTGTATTTTATAAGAGAATATTAGTTCGATGGGAAGTTCATACATTATGATTTTATTTTTGAGATTAATAAATTTCGATGTGAGGTGAACTCGTAATCACCGATAGCGATAGATAGGGAACATTTTGTGCAGTAGGAACAAGTAGGTTATGTTCATATGTGATACTAGAATTATATGGTCTGAGCGTAAATGTGCAGTGGATAGGATAAAACTTTATAATAATATATAAAATTTGGAAAGTTAGTTTATTGACTAGGTTAGAATACATGTTTTATAAGAAATTTAAATATTTAGTTGCATTTAACAAAAAACGAACGGATAAAGCGTCATCCTACTATGAAAACGTATTAAATTCTTCCTTCAAGCGCGAAAAAGGACTTTCGTACGTAAAAATTAAACGGAACAAGGAGAACGAGTTCTTTCCCATCACCGATGTAAACCGGTAACACACAATCAAACAACATGAAATGCATCATATAATTATTATTGTTTTTTATGTTTATATTCTATAAAACGGATGTATTTTCGTGTTTTCCGTAAACCATTATTCAAGTGTCGTTCCGCGTGCATACAAGGGATTGTAAAATTCCTCATACCATTCGGTACGTAAGTATATGTACGTAATAAATAGTCTCGTATTTTTATTTACATACATCTTTATTGAACACGATTATATCCCAGAGTTATAAACGTACGGTGCGCACTACAGTCCGCTCGTTCGGCCGCGACCAAAGTGTATGTTGTTATATACTTTCCGAAGTATTTTATTGTTTCTGTTTCACTGGTGAGGGGTAGGGGTAGGGGAGGAATACAAGATAATCTGAAAACAAGTGTAATGGGTTCCAAAACGATTTGCATCGGAACTGTTGATATATTGAGCAATGTCGATTTTCAAGTTGTACGACTACAAATATTGTAGTCATTGTGTGCGCGTGATTTAAAGAACGGGGTATGAAAGACGTTGGATGTTCTCACGATTACATCTGTACAATGTCGTATCCGAATGCACAAACTAAAAATCCAATATCAATTAATCGTCATATTTTATTAGATGTCGCGCGAGTGTGGACGTAACCCTTGTACGACGGGTACGCGCACTAAGACCGCGCGCGCCGTAAATGTCGAACGCAGAAGGATATTGATAGGAACGATGAGCGCCGAACGTCTTCATAACGTCTATAAGATATTACTACTACTACTGCTATTACTACTGGTAGTACTTGTTCCACGTCCGCCGGGAGATACTGATCAGAAGCCAATTCAAGAGGGTGTATTGTGTTCCTCCGACGATCGGTTCTCACCCTGTTCGCGCGGCACCGCGATACGATCATAGGCAACCCCATTCATGAGGAACGAGTGTATTATTGTGTTTTAAAACAATTAAGTGCGGACAGAAGAAGAAAAAAAATACACCACCGGCTTATTTAAAACATTTCAATTATCACAAAAAACTCGGGTCTTTATTGCGGTAAAGAATTCCACAGAATGTTTCGAAATCTTTACCTGGAAAACGACGTCGAAACACGGAATAGCAAATCATTTCGGAGGACGGTTTTTATAAACGTAAGTCGATTTCCGTCCGCGTATTCAACTTGACGCGAGAACGATTAAATATCGTCGAGTAACGACACGAGTACCGAGTTCAAGGTTTTAACGTCCACTAAATTTTACCGGAAAAATAGAAATACTCGGGTGATTTGGTATTTTTTTCAAATGGTTTATACTTTGACGAAATGTCGTACGTGTTATATGTTTCAAAGAAAAAACTCTTGAATTTCGAAAATACCGGATTTTTGGTTATTAACAGACGGATTGCGAAACATAATTGTAGTCGAAGAACGCGCGTGTACGTGCACACGTAACAGGCGATATAGTTTATAAATAAGTATTGTTTGCCGTGCAAAAGATCGTGCGGATCTTAAGCTGTAAACGTATGATGATTTATAAAACTCTGTAGATCAATCATACGAACCCGTTGGAAGGCGAGGGAGGAGGGGCATGAAAAAAAAGAAAATCGAAAAGTTTAAAGTCCGCAGCGATGCGAATGCATACGGATATGATAATTAAACGCCATGGCTGAGCGTCCGATATGTAATCATCATAATAATTTCAAAACAATGCATTATACCGTATGCTTATATTTCGTCACAGCGGTCGTGACATGTTTCCATTACGATTTTCAAACGGTAAAACGTTATAAGTCCTGTAAAGACAGGGGCGTATTTAGACTTAATTCTAGGGTGGGGGACTCAAATTTTTTCTTTAATTCAGGCCCAAAATTTACAAGTAAAATTGTTGATAATATTTAAATCATGTGAATCCTTAATATTTGTGTTTTTTTTTTTTTTTTTAATTTAATGCTGGATCCACTTAAAATCGACTTTTGTGTAGTTCTTTATTAACACCTCTGTATGTGTTTTGAAAGTTACGCTTGTGTTTTATTTGATTTTTCCCCAAGTATGGACCCGACAAGAAGTCCAATTCAGTATTCGCAGCCACGCGTGATTCGATTTCGTTATAAAATGATCCGCATTAAAAAAAAAAAAAAAAATTGAAACGTGCATCTCACGTGTAATAAACTCCTTAAATACGGATTCAGAGGGGGGAGATCGCCCCTTCGCCCCCCCTTCAAAAATACGCCCATGTGCAAAGGATTGCGCGTAGCCGACGGCACAAGAAATGCGCGGCGGAAAAAAAAACAATTTTTCACGTATTACACGTACGGCGAACGACGCGTTGTCCGAGGGCACGCAGACGGTCTAAAAACAATGCGTTCGTTTTGAAAGCGACACGGTTGGTAAAAAAAAAAACAAAAAAAAAAATAAATAAATATTATAACAACAGTCGTAAAACGAAAAAATGTATTATCGTTAACGCGTGTGCGCGGACGAAGATGATCTGCGTTTACGGGCGTTGTACAGTCCCTCATTATTACTATTATTATTATTATAACCTGCAGTGTGTGTGCACCGAACATGCACATTTATGCACTTCACAACGAGTATTATACACTGTATTCTACGGGCCAAGTGACACACACACACACGCGCGCGCGCGTATATTGTTATTTTATTCAGCGGCGGTCATTAAATGTTTTATACGCGTTCATTTTTCATTTTTTATTTTTCCACCGACTTCGTTTTTAACTCTTTTTTAATTAACCTGAAACGGATACGCGCGAGTCGCGCAGATAGGGCGCGCGCACGGACTACATCGCGCGTACACATCGCGCGCACCACCTTTATTGGTGTACGCGCACGCTAAGAATTGCGGTTCCGGTTGTCAGGTTTTTACTGCA